CAAACACACACACACACATATATATATATATATTTAGTTTACGAGGATTCTCCATTAACATTTATTGTACTTTATACTGTAAAAACTGCTCATTGTGGCACAGTGGCTGAGTGGTTAGCACTGTCGCTTGACAGAAAGAAGGTCGCTGGTTCGATTCCCGACTGGGCCAGTTGGCATTTCTGTGTGGAGTTTGCATGTTCTCCCTGTGTTCACATAGGTTTCCTCCAGGTGCTCCGGTTTCCTGCACAGGAGACCCATGCCAACAAGGGGAGAGCATGCAAACCTCACACAGAAATGCCAAGTGACTCTGCCGGGACTCGAACCAGCGACCTTCTTGTTGTGAAGCAACGGTGCTAGAAATTCTTCACTTTTATAATGCTGTTGTAGTGGTCAGCATAATGGTTTTAAAGGTTCTCCAATAAAAAATAGCCATGGTGTTCTGGGTGGTTGTATGAATGTTGTTCGGTGGTTGCCGTTGGCATTGCTGTGGTTACTAGGGCATTTCTTTGCTGGTTATTAGGTGGTTGTTATGGTTTTGTGTCACCACAGGTTGGAGTCTAGGTTGTTGCTAGGGTGTCCTTGGTTGTTACTTATGTGTTGTTAGAGACGACAATAGTTATCAGCCAATATACTGTAATTATTCTGCATGTTCTTGATGTACATTGTTCAACATGCATTCCAGCAGCATGCAAGATCAAGTGATGAGAAATGTTAATGTTGTGCACAGAAAAATATGTCCTCATGTGAAATACAGAGGGAAGGCGCAGTTCTGAGGCTCTGTGGGTTGTTCTGGCTCAATCCCAACCATATGGGACCACTGTAGATCTGAAACTAGCAGAGTCATTCAGCGACTCCTTAGGGGACAAATACTAAACAGTTGCACTCTGGTATTTGAGAAAATACATATTCGAGTTCTCCTTTTTGAGCTTTGATGTTCACATCACAGTGTTTAACCCTCCTATTGTTTTATACACTATTCACCCTTTGGGTCAAAAATGAGCCGCCATCACTAAACCTCCAAAATAAAACATTTGAATTCAATTTCAATCCTTAAATCTGTAAAACAGGGGGTGATGCGGTGGCGCAGTGGGTAGCACGTTTGCCTCACAGCAAGAAGGTCGCTGGTTCGAGCCTTGGCTGGGTCTGTTTCTGTGTGAAGTTTGCATGTTCTCTCTGTGTTCGCGTGGGTTTCCTCCGGTTTCCACCGTCCAAAGACATGCGGTACAGGTGAATTGGGTAGGATAAAATTGACCGTAATATATGAGTGTGTGTGTGGATGAGTGTGTATGGATGTTTCCCAGGGATGGGTGGCGGCTGGAAGGGCATCCGCTGCGTAAAACATATGCTGGATAAATTGGCGGTTCATTCCGCTGTGGCGACCCCAGATTAATAAAGGGACTAAGTTGAAAAGATAATGAATGAATGAAATCTGTAAAGCAAACTCATTATTCATCACAATTTTGGGAATGCTAAGTTTTCTCTCATCAGTGTAGGGTATGGTATCAATGTTTAATCAGAGGACATCACTTATTTTTGACTAAAGTAAAGGGTATATTTTCTAATGTTAAGATGGATAAATGTAAAAATCTTTTAGCAAGTGTCCAAAAAGTTGATGTGTGTTAGAATGTGCCAGTGATGTAAACATGATTTTATAGCTGGCACATTCTAACACACACCAACTTTTTGGACACTTGCTAAAAGGTTTTTACATTTATGCTTTTAAAGTGTGCATGGTTTAATGTTTTGTTCCAACACTACTTTTATATGTAATGTTTTGGTGAATTATTGAATAATTTAATTGAATTCTTGCAATTTTATTTGACATTTTTGTACAGTCAGCAATGCTGGTTATATTTATGGATAGCAATCAATGCATTTTTTTTTTTCTTTAAAATTGGATCAGCCTGATCTCGAGGAAACCTAACTATTTTATATTTTGTCAGTTTAGTGACTAATTTGTTTTTATGAGTTCAGTCTCACCAACCTCCACCCCTAAACCCAACCATCATTGGGGGAGGAGCAAATCATACTACATTGATCATTTTTTAAAATTTTTATTGTTTGAGTCCCATTTAATTAAAAGAGAGTTTCGGCCCTGAGTTTTGGTTCCTGTTTGCACCAATTATATATATATATATATATATATATATATATATATATATATATATATATATATATATATATATATATATATATATATATATATATATATAATATTTAATATATATTTGTACAAAATACATATAAAAATGAATTGAGCCAGCGGTTTGCTATTGTTGTTGTTTAAACTCGGACCACAAATTTGTTCTGGGCCTGTGTTTGTTTGCAATTTGGGTTTTGCCCTCAAACAAAACATATCATATCAGATGGAAAATGTTACATCTTATTTGTTATGTGTATTAAATCCCAGTAATTAGGTCAGTAGGCAGAGAGGAAGTGTGCTTTAGTGGCAGTTTAAATGCATTCAACTGCATGAGTGTCTACACACCATAAAGCAATTCAGTCAAATGCATTTGTCTCTTGAAGAGGTTTAAAAGTCTTCAAGCTCCACATAGTTCAGACCCCATTTGCATTTATTGTCTTTTTGACATGTTATTGGATTGACATATAATACTAAGTTTAAACACACTTTGGGAATCTTTATAAGCAGTGTTAGTCCTCTATAAAATATCAGCTAATGTTTAATATGAAGAAACTGTGCATTGGTGAGTTATATTTATGGATGACAATTAATGCATTTTTATCTTTAAAATTGTGCAAATTGTACACATTCATATGAATTAACTCTTGAAACCCCCATAAATTGGGCTGGATGCTCATGTTCAAAGGATAGTTCATTTAAACATTATTATTACCTCATTATTTGTGCTCTCTTGTGTAGTTTTAAACCTGTATGGGGATCTTTCTTCTGTGCTCCATTCAAAAGAAGATATTTTGAAGAATGCTGAATAATTGCACTCTATGACTTCCATAGAATGAAAAATCTATTTCTATTAAAGTCAATGAGTCCCAGCAACCAGCGTTCTTCAAAATATCTTCTTTTTTGATCAAAAGAAGAAGGAAAACTCAAGAAAGAATAAGTAAAGGGTTGGTAAATGATGGCAGAATTTCATTTTTGTGTGAACTGTCCCTTTAAGAGTCTCAACCCTGTTCCTGGAGGCACACCCACAGTACATATTTTGGATGTCTCTCTTATCTGCCCCATTAACTTCAGGTTTTGGAGTCTCTTCTAATGTTCTGATGAGTCGATTCAGGTGTGTTTGATTAGGGAGTGCTTGAAAATGAATATTGTTGGTGTGACTTCAGGAGCAGGGTTTGGAAACACTGCTCTAGAGTCTATATGTTGTAGAACAAATGACTTCAACACAGTGAAAATCCGTCATACGCTTTTATAGGCAATTTAAGACGAAAAAGAAACTTGTCCGACTGATTTGCAAGAAAGATTTAGTTTTCACACAGTTTCTCACATCTGGCACGACAACAGCTAAACTGTAAATACATGATGGACACCAGAAAACAGCTTGAATAACGTCTGCCAGATAGCAGAGGGCAGTTACTGTACACTGTAAAAAAAACATCTGTTCATTAACAGTTTACTTATTTGTGATTCACAAGCAGTGGCAAGATTTAAGCATGGGCAATATGGGTGATCGCCCAGGGCGGCATCTTGTTGGGGCGGCAAAGGGGGTGCTACTACCTTCCCCTCCCCCCTTTCCCTACCCCCTCTCCTCTCTTTCGTACGTGAGACACCATCCTCACTCAACACATTTGTCTAGAGCGCCAGTTCAGCTTGCTCCAGTACTGTTCACAAGTGTTCCATTTATTTGAATTGTGTTATCTCAGCAGACACACAACGTCATAAGATGCTAAAATTAGGTTAGATTTTGGTCGTGACGTCAGGTGACCAAAATTCAATGTCTAGACACCTTGTAAGGACAACATTATTTTGACGTTCAATAATAACATCAAATGATGTTTGTGTTTGGTTGATTTTAGTTTGTGTTGGAAAGTGACCAAAATATAACGTTAAACCAACGTCATATTGGTCAATTACTGACATTTATTCATCAGGTATGGCAGCCAAAATCCAGCGTCTGATAGACTTCATAGTGGTAATGTCCATCTGACGTCGAGCTGTAACATCATTAGTCGTTGATATTTGGCTGATTTTAGGTTGTGTTAGAAAGTGACCTAAATCCAGCGTCGAGCCAACATCTTAAACCAACATGATATTGACGTCAAATAGTGACATTTATTCGTCAAGTATGGTAACCAAAATTCAACGTCTGATATACGTCATAGTGGTGAAGTCCACATGTCAAGTAACATCATTAGACGTTGATATTTAATTGATTTTAGGTTGTGTTGGAAAGTAACCAATCTAGCGTCGAGACAACATCTTAAACCAACATCATATTGACGTCAAATACTGTCATTTATTTCTCAAGTACGGTGACCAAATGTCAACGTCTGATGAGTTCATAGTGGTAACGTCCACACAACGTCAAGCTGTAATATCACTATATGTTGATATTTGATTGCTTTTAGGTTGGACGTTATACATTGACGTCTGGTTTTTTACATCGACCCGATTTTCATTTCTAAACAAAATGCAATGGCCCCATGACGTTGGACTACAACATCAATCTGACGTCCTGTTGGCGTTCTGTGCCTGCTGGGATGGGGCCTTGATCTCCGCTCTGTCATCTTTTGATGTTGAAAATTTAATTCTACAGTTTAACAAAGTGGTTTTTATTGTCATTTTAGTAGTTTAAAACAATAATATAACGTATAAGAGATAATATATGCAGAAATAAGTCTGTAAAATAACTGAAAATGTACTGTCAGTTTATCACAATGTTTTTGTACCTTAATATACAACACCAACCCGGACGACATATCACTTTAAACTATTAAAAATGTTATTAAAAGTCACTTTTTCAAACATTTCAAGGTTAAAAGTTGTTAGAAGAAAGATTAAGGTCCCATAATGCAATTCAAAAGCATAAATAAACAAAGAAAAATAAAAACATGAATCACAAAATATGAAAAACTGTTAATTTACAGATATTTTTTACAGTGTAGTCTCGCAGATGATCAGCTCATGTCCGACAGTTCGGCAGTCCAGTTCTCTTCATATTGCTTTCCTCTTATTAAATGTGAACCAGCAGGATTTTACTCTCCCTCCCAAAAAAGGCCACTTCTGGAGTGCTGCGGCTCACTGTGATTCAGCCAGACGGTAATGGGAAGTGGCAGTAGAGATATGAGGGCTTCTTCTGTGCTGTTTGAAGGTGAGTTCAGTCCTATTTTGTTTAGCAGAAAGGTTAACGGCGTCTGTTTCTATTGGTCATCGGTCGTAGGCACTGCGTGGATCTCCCTGAAGCCTGCAGAAACCACACGTTTTGAGACACTTCAAATGTGACAGATGAAATCAAGCAGTTTACTTACACACACACATGCTCAATATTGAGGTAAAGTTGGTGTTAAATTCACACATTCAGACTTTTTCTTTTATTTTTCAGATATTTGCAGAATCTTATTAGTAAAACCATATCGACTATCACAGTACAACAGTCCCAGTCAAATAAATAGTGCTGATGTTGTTTTCAAGTCATACTTAGCCTACATGTGATTTCAGACTGAATATTCAAAGTACCCTGGTAAACAATACAGGGAGCATGTCACAAGTTGTCACTAAACGAATGTGCGACTATAAAAATCATCTTTATGCTCAAGTGAGAGGCAAACACATCTTTCGGGCTGAAGGACATTTACGCCGCCTACTTGAGTATTATAGTGTCTCTCTGTCGCCATTATCTCACTGTCCTTTTCAGTCGACCTCTGTCTCTGGCTAATTAATAAAGTGAAGCTGACACAGATGATATAAAACAGGTACTATATCACTCAAGAGCGAGTGTGAGAGGACTGGAGGAGGTTATTAACACACGGTGAGAAGGAAAACACCTAATATGAATATGGTCCTAAATCGCTACAGTATTACAACAATGCCAAAAGGTTTACTGCAAAAAAAAACTATATCTTCAGAGATACAATCTTATTTCTGTAACACTTTAGAATAATGGTCTATTAGTTACTGTTAGTTAACATTTACTAATATTAATATTAAAAATTAATTAATATTACTTTTATGACAAGGCAGTAGAGCTGGTATTGGATTACATTTAGATTACTTTCAAAGCAATGCAATTGAACTACTTTTGGATTACATTTAAATTACTTTTATGGCAGTGAAATTGGACTATTTTTGGATTACATTTAGATTACTTTTATGGCAGTGCAAATGAACTACTTTTGGATTACATTTAGATTATTTGTATGGCATTGCAAATGAACTACTTTTAGATTACTTTTATGGCAATGCAATTGAATTACTTTTGGACTAAATTTAGATTACTTTTATGGCAATACATTTGGACTACTTTTGGATTACATTTAGATTACTTTTATGGCAATGCAATTGAGCTACTTTTGGATTACATTTAGATTACTTTTATGGCAATGCAATTGAGCTACTTTTGGATTACGTTTAGATTACTTTTATGGCAATGCAATTGAGCTACTTTTGGATTACATTTAGATTACTTTTATGGCAATGCAATTGAGCTACTTTTGGATTACATTTAGATTACTTTTATGGCAATGCAATTGAGCTACTTTTGTATTACATTTAGATTACTTTTATGGCAATGCAATTGAACTACTTTTGAAATACGTTTACATTACTTTTATGGCAATGCAATTGAGCTACTTTTGGATTACATTTAGATTACTTTTATGGCAATGCAATTGAGCTACTTTTGTATTACATTTAGATTACTTTTATGGCAATGCAATTGAGCTACTTTTGTATTACATTTAGATTACTTTTATGGCAATGCAATTGAACTACTTTTGAAATACGTTTACATTACTTTCATGGCAATGCAATTGGACTACTTTTGGATTACATTTAGATTATTTTTATGGCAATGCAATTAAACTACTTTTGGATTACATTTAGATTATTACTTGTACTTTAGTGACTGCATTTGTTATTGTAGTAAGCTTCATTTTGAGAAGCAACAAGTAATAATTTTGTGTTGTAACTACTGTCAAGTCTTAATTTGAATATGGACAATATGCACAGTAGGCTATATGTGATCCTGATTTAATTTTACAATAATCTTATTTTAGGTTTAAATTATCTGTCATTAATTAAGAGGAATTCACCTGCTTAGCAACTGTAGTTTTAAGACCTTTTAAAAAATATGAGAAGCAATTAATTAAAAGTAATTAACAAGGTAGTTTAGGAAAATTAGGACTAAATGTATTGCTTGCTATTTATTTTAAGACATTCATTTCTTTACAAAATCCCTGGTATGTTTCCCTATTTCAGGAAATCTTAACAAATAGAATTATCTTATTCCACTGGCAGATTATTTGACTTGATCTAGCCTGTATCTTCATTTAGATGGTAGTTTTTTTTTGTTTTGTTTTTTGCAGTGAATTTAAGAATTGAGGCAGAATTTGAAGCCTTCATGGTTCAGTAAACAACAACTGTTTTGTATATAAGTCAATAAAAAGGTATTCATTTATGCTTGTGTTTATATTCTAACAGGAAAAATGATTATACTGTACAACTGAAGGGAGTAATTTGAGCAGGAAATGGATCCCACACCAATCAATCTGGCACTAACGGATTCCTCTAAAAGGTATATATATGGTGACTTGAAAATCGATATCATGTCATGAAAAATACAAATAATAGTATAATAAAACAACAGTGTAATTGTAGACAAAAACCTGGATTTTGATTTCACAATTCAGCACATTTTCAAGACAGCAGGGTGGAAACTAAACATAAAAATTACTGTAAATTTTTAGAAAGCCTTTATAAAAGGTAAAACTTTAGTTTAGGTACCAATTCCCACTATTTACTCCTGGCTTATTACATGAATTTTAATAAAATATTAGGTGTTTATTAGTACTTAAGTATGATCTTATTTTTTATCAATAATCCCACCCTACCTAAACCAAACTCATATCTTAAAAACTAATAATAAACAACAAATTAGAAGTTTATAGAGATAATCGATAGTTAATGATTTGATAATAGCAAAAATGGTACCTTAAAAAGTGTGACCGTATAAAATAAATTCCATTCTAATAACAGTTTCTTAAAAGTGTTTGTCTCAGCAGCTGCAATATAGGGAGCATATATACAGTATGGTGTTAATTAATAAAAAACTAATTACATTAATTGCTGTTAAGTAAGGAATAATGTACATCCGGCTGGTTATTCTTGAATAATAAAGACTGACAGGCTTGTCAGCAAGCTATTGTTTAAAACTAAAGACTTTATTTGTAGTACAAAGCTAAGCTTACATTATTAGATTAACCATGATTGACCAATCAGAATGAGTAATGCAGAGAGCTGTGTAATAATCCATAATATTAGCTGTGTAAAAGATATCCACCGATTAAACTAATTAAACTAACACAAGCTCACCCAGTTAGTATATAAATATTTATCTGTCACTATTGTTCGTAACAGTTTGGCGCCTCTGACTGAATGATAATTCTATGTAATAATATTATTAGTATTTTTATGATCATTTGTTAAACAGATTCATCGGTGTGATTAAAAAAAAACAACAACCTCAAACTCAATATAAACTGCAGCTCTGATGAATCTGGTTCGTATAAAAGCAGAAGAGCTTGTTTGTCCATTCATTACAATCTGAGATTTGTTTCTGTGCAATAGCAGTCTATTAACCTAATGTGAAATCCGTTTGAGGTTGGAACAAAAGTATTTATTATTGTTCTGCAGGGCAAAAGGCTTTTCATTTACAAATCAATACTGCACATTACATATTTTACTCACTGTAATATTTGCTCATTTGTTGCATTTTAGAATAAAAAATCAACATATCCATTAACGTACAAAAGAAAACAACAAATATATATTTAAATACTCTAAGGTATATTTAAAATTCCTGTTATTTCATATTAAACTTCTCGAGCAGCAAATCCACATGTTAGAATTATTTCTGAAGGATGATGTGGCACTTTGCCATCAAAGTTACAGACCGTTATCTTTAAAAAACTTTAAAACATTAGACTCCAAATTTTTTTGAATTGATAATGTAAAGGATAGGTGATGCACAAATGCAGAATTAATATCTTTCTCTAGTTTAACCAGCACTTTCAAGATTGATTTCAAATACAATTCTCATTTTAACATACAAAGCATTATGGATCTGCACCTGAGTATCTTTGCTTTCTTTTAAGCGCATGAACTCCATCTCGATCACTCTACTCTTCCTGTTCTCTACTACTCCATCAACTTCCTTTTAATATTCGATACGCACCAAATTTGGATCACTTTAAAAAGTAGATACATATATTCAGGCTTGTTTTTAATTGATGGTGTATTTTATTTTGTTTTTGTGTCTAATTTTTACTGCGGTGCTTTGGGTTTGAGAAAAATAAGTTCTAAATAAAATTAACTAGATTAATTAGGCAGGTTAGGGTAATTAGTGAAGTTGTTGTATTAGGATGGTTTGTACACAATAAAAAAATAATAATAATATTGACCTTAAAATGTCTTTTAAAAAATTAAAAACTGCTTTTATTCTAGCCGAAATAAAACAAAGAAGACTTTCTCCAGAAGAAAAAATATTATAGGAAACACTGTTCACAGGACGGTTAATCATTTTGACTTAATTCATTTAATTCAGGTAAATTGGCTACTTCATTTTCAACTGTATACTAAAAACAACCACAATAACAATGTGCAGCAGTAACATTTCCAGAAAATGAAACCGATTTACCTTCTGAATCCTGTAGCCGTGGCTGTTTTGGAGAATGTCACAACCGTGGCTCGGTTTGTCTAATCAGTCTAATATGTGTTGTCAGCAAACTCTTGTGGACAAGCATCTGTGTTGTTTCCCTAAAAGAGACCGAAAAAGGACGTTAACTTTGTTGAAGAAGTATTAAAACATGGCTTTAGGAAAGAGTTAATGGATTTGTGTTAGGATGCAGATGTCAGCTTGAATTTTGAGAGGTGTCATGCAACCCACAGCAAGCTTTCTCTTTTAACACCTCACATATGACAGAGCGAATGTGAGAGTCACACACACACTCACACACACACGCTCTATAATAAGAAATCATCCTTCACAGCTGATCATACACAAATGGTTTCTTGTCACGGGATTGCTTGAATATTTCAAAAAGACTGAGAAAACTGTTTAAAGATTTGAGTCTGGAGGGAATATTAAAGGAATAGTTTTTACAAAAATGAAGCAACTGCATTTATTCAGCCTCAAGTTGTTTCAAAGCTGTATGAATTTCTCTTTACTGCTGAACATAAAAGAAGATATTTTGAGAATGTGGATAAGTAAACGCTTTCTGCTCCCTACTGATAACATTTGTTTATTTGCATGCTATGGAAGTCAGTGGAGAGCAACAACTGTACGCTCTGAGGGTGAGTAAGATTATTATTAGTGTGGTATTTTAGTTTGAAATGCATTAAACCGGGGCTTTCAAACATTAGAGAATGGCTGCTTTTTTATTAAACGCCATTCATAGACTGTTTTGAGGGATGTAAACAAAAACAACGGTCCCAACGTATCTCCTGTTTTACATTTTTAATTTATATAGCTTCCGAGATCACAAAAAAGCCACATATTGATGGCTGTTTCAACATTGAGTTATATTTGAATCGCCTCTTGTTACAGTTATGAAATAGTTTGATAATGAGCAGGAAATGTTCATGGGCCAATGACATGACCACTTTGAATTGGTCTATATAACTTTTTCTTATGAAGGGCCAAAGCCAGAACTATATTGAGGGCTTTGGGCTGAAGGTAAATATACCAAACTGTATTACATTAACGTTTCCATGAGTAATTTCCTTATTAATTTCCTTATATTTAAAAATAGCTACAAAGCTTACATTAACTAATGCAGTATATTTGGAAAAAAATAATGATGAGGTTATTACAATCCTGTTAATAACACAATGAAGTTCAATGCTAAATACACTAAGCTGCAACTGCTTTGCCTGGATTTGCTCGCCGCTGTCTTTTGCGTTGTCTTCTATCTGTCGAATGACATGAGATTCATTTACAAAACAAAAGAAATCACAAAGCAAACAAACAAAATGTTACATTTAATTTACAAATGATCTCTGTCAAAGATTTTCGCTCCAACCACCATCCCATCATTCTCCTTCTCTTCTCAAATAGGATAGTGCGCCGAATCAAAGGTTAGCCTGGGCCAACTTTGGCTCACAGGCCCTAGTTTGGGCATCTCTGGTCTATATGATAATATATAATTTAAACGATTAATATAAGTATGACTATGGATGTTTCCCAGTGATGGGTTGCAGCTGGAAGGGCATCCGCTGCGTAAATATGCTGGATAAGTTAGCGGTTCGTTCCACTGTGGTGACCCTAGATTAATAAAGGGACTAAGCCGAAAAGAAAATGAATGAATGAATGGAATAAATATTAACAGGGCGTCATGGTGGCGCAGTGATAGCACAATCGCCTTACAGCAAGAAGGTCGCTGGTTCAAGCCCCGGCTGGGTCAGTTGGAATTTCTGTGTGGCGTTTGCATGTTCTTCCTGTGTTTGTGTGGGTTTCCTCTGGGTGCTCCGGTTTCCCCCAGAAGTCCAAAAACATGTGGTATAGGTCAATTGGGTAGGTTAAATTGTCCGTAGTGTGTGTGTCTGAATGAGTGTGTATGGATGTTTCCCAGTGAAGGGCATCCACTGCGTACAACATGCTGAATAAGTTGGTGGTTCAATCCGCTGTGGCGACCCCAGATTAATAAAGGGACTAAGCCAAAATGAAAATGAATGAATAAATCTTTGTCAACGATTTTCGCCCCAACCACCTCCTGATCATTCTCCTTCTCAAATGGGATAGTGGGCCAAATCAAAGGTTAGCATGGGCCAACTTTGGCCCGAGAGCCCTAGTTTGGGTATCTCTGGTCTATATGATATATTTAAACTACTAAAATAAATATGGACATTACAAAAATAAACAATCAATTAATTATTTCATGTGACTATAAAATAGAAAATGTATTTTTCTGAAAATTGTTCTGAATAAATAACGTGTTTCTACAAGAAACTGAGGGAAAGCCTGTGGGATCTAAAAGAAAGAAAAGCATTTACATTTGTTGTATTTACTGTTCTGTACTAGTATAAAATGCAAAAGTGTAACCTAATAAAGTCAAATCTTTCCTAAATATTGTTTTAAATATATTAGTAATGGGCTGCACAGTGGCACAGTGTAGCATGTTCACCTTACAACAAGAAGGTCACTGGTTTGAGCCCGGCTGGGTCAGATGGCATTTCTGTGTGGAGTTTGCATGTTCTCCCCGTGTTGGCGTGGGTTTCCTCGGGTGCTTCGCTTTCCCCCACAAGTCCAAAGACATGTGGCATAGGTGAACTGGGTAGGCTAAAAATGTCCATAGTGTATGTGTGTGGATGAGTGTGTATGGATGCATCTGGAAGGGCATCCGCTGCATAAAACATGCTGGATAAGTTGGCGGTTCATTCCGCTGTAGCGACCCCAGAATAATAAAGGGACTATAAGTTTTCGACTTAATAAATGAATAAATATAATGGTAATATTTTTTCTTCACAGAACAAATAGGGTATTTACACAAAAACTATATAAATGCATTTAAATTTTTCATATTTGAGGATCTATGGCAGATTGAAAAGACCTGAATTAGGCGAATAGACAAGAATAAAAAAGATATTACATTATCCGAAAAATTATATAAAATACATGTATGTTTGCATATACTATTAATTCTATTAATATTTAAATTATTCTATTTCCTTCAGATATTTGGTTTATCATGCTGTTAACCACTGGCTTATTCATTGCCTATTATTAAGTTATTAACTGTTCATCAGTAGTTTGATATTATTCTGCACCCCTAATCCTACCCAAAACCTAAAACCAACTTCTACCTTACAAGCTATTAATAAACAGATGATAAGTTGTTTAATAAGCTAGGGGTGTTAGTCAATGGTTTGTTAATACTGTGAGTTGTGAACTAAACTAAAGTGTTACTAAATTCATTCACTCACTTCCTTTCACCTTTCGCCAACTATTCCAGCATATGTTTTACGCAGCGGATGTCCTTCCAGCTGCAGCCCAGTACTGGGAAACACCCATACACTCTTGCATTGACACACACAAACACTCATACACTATGGGATAATTTAGTTAATCCAATTCACATATACAGCATGTCTTTAGACTGTGGGGGAAACTGGAGTCCCTGGAGGAAACCCATGCAAACATGTGGAGACCATGCAAACTCCACACTGAAATGCCAACTGACCCAGCTGGGACTTAAACCAGCGATCTTCTTGCTGTGATGTGACAGTGCTAACCACTGAGCCGCCATGCTGCCACCTATTAAAATAAATAAAGGACATTTGTCAATTTAATTAATTATATTTTAAGTATTTTGTAACATAATGTAATGATATATAAGCTAAATATTTTCCAAATAATATTTTCGACATGCACTCAAAAAAATAATGTTTGTTTAAAATGCTTATTGAAAATGGGTTGAAACTACACAATTATTAAGGTTTTTTTTGTGGGAAAAAACTGATTGTTTTATGTTTAATCCTCTTAAATTTGTAAATATTAATAAGTTAACTTAATTCCTTTATGTTGTCCTGACACAAATCTATTGTGTGGAACCCAGCATTTTTTACAGTGTATAACCAATATTCTTTTCACAGTATAATTAAGTTCTGTGGCATCTACAAGAGTGAACCCCCTATATTAGACATATGAAAGCATTTGGTGAGGGGAATAACAACATTTGCATTCAAATATGCATTGTTGCCAACTGTTTCATAATACAATAAATTATAATAGCTGTTCTTTTCATGCTCTAGTTTTGCACGTAATGATTTGTTCGATTCATTGCGTAGAAACATCACTGGATGGCAGCACTGAGCAACATGCTCTCTTTGATTCACCCAGTCAAACAAGCACAGCATATAAATGTAAGATTTGATGCTTTAAATAAATAACCTGCTGTTTTCTTGTTTAATAATGTCTGTGTTCTGTCGCTGCTATGAATCTAGGCGGCGTGAAATGATGCAGATGACGTTGACTGAGCACAGGTCTAAAGGCTGAGGATGATTCTCTCTGACTGAGCGTTTGGAGTGTGTCTGGCGGACCTGTCAACAGGAGTGTCAGCGTGAAACCTCCGGTAATCAGCTCACGCTGCACCTTGCGTCCTGTTTTCTCCACATGACAGTGAAATAGGGAACGCCTGAGTGAGCTTATAACCTGTGCACAATCACACTTTGACAGCGACAGAGCACAAAGCAACACAACAGTTCACCACCACTTACTTCATGCATGCACAGGAATGTATTTTACACGCATTCCCACATAAACAAATACTATGTATGCAAAAATACTAAATATTATAGTGTTTCTAAATCATGTGAAGTATGTGAATTAATCGGTAGTGATGATTCTATAGTTGCTTTGTTAATAAAACAGCTGCAATATATTAATATGTGACCTTGGACCACAAAACCAGTATGCTGCATGGGTATATTTGTATTTATTTTTGGTACAAGAAAAAAATCAATCATGTTGATTCAAACAATAGAATATTTGCTGCCCAAATTATTTAGTTTTTTCTCTTACCAATTATTATTTATTTTTTGTGGCCTATAGGGTCACTTATTAATATACAAGTCAAAAGGATTGATTTTGATCACACTTTATTTTGATGGTCCGTTTGTTGAATTTAAGTTACATTGCATCTACATGCAACCAATTCTCATTAGATCCTAAGTAGACTGTTAGGTTGGGGTTAGGGTTAGTGCAAGTTGACATGTACTTGCAAAGTTTCTTATAGTCAGTTAAATGTCTGTTGAAGGAG